AAGAAAATCCACCTTATGACCCTAGTGGGCTACTTCACGCATTACCAATTGATTTTGGGATGGAACCTCACTTGGGCCTGGTGGTGTGGGCGGGGGCCTTGGGTAATTGCTCCCAATAATTCCCTAACACTGCTGTTGCATTACAAGGGCCTTGTGCTCTTAAAATTCCCGTTCCACAGCACGCTGTATCAACGTTATGAAATTCTGATAACAAAAAGAAAATGAAAATCGAATAGGTCAAGTGGATGATTATGGTGTTCAGTAAATACGTATTAGTTAACTGCTTACTGAAGTCATGGGGATGATTTATGACGTCATTTGTCATATTGTATGCATATCCAAGTGAGTACTTCATTTCGGGAAGCTGAGAGCTGATGTTGTACAGCAAGGTGTTGAGTGCTGACTGGAAAGCAAAGGCGACGTTATTCATGGCTTCAAAACAACCTTCTTTACCGGTCAAACGTTTATAGGCAAGTCTATTGGCTGGACAGCATCCAACTGGTGCCACACTAATGATGCCAAACTTTCGTGCCCCAAGGTTGTACAAAGCCTACCATCAAACATGACTTCAGTTCTATTATAGGGATCTCCCCTTTTTGACTTGAAGAAAATGTATACAATACTGGAAGGAAGAAAACTTACTTCAATGTGAGTTCTATACGCTGACATCAGAGAGTCGATGAAGTTCTCTATAGCCTCTGTACTATTTGTCTTGAAATATTCGAAAATGTCATTGCTTCCAACACTGATGAAGAACAGTGCTTTTGAGAGTGTTACTTCTGTTGATGCTTGGCCTATAACTTCAGTGAGATTATTGCGCAATGCGGTGAATTGAACGGTCTGGTCCGACAAGGGCACAATACTCTGTTGGTGACGTAATTTTACATGGGAAGAAATCGTTAGAGTTATCTCGGGGCTAATGTTTGAAGCCATTGTATTAGTAATAATTCAAATCAGAAAAAAAATAATGAAGTCAGGACAGGCCTGATGACTTACCAGGTTTTGGCCAGTTTCATATAGAAGTCCAGCACCTCCGGAGGCGAAGTTTACTCCTCTATGGAGAAGCTTGTGGTGACCAGATGTCTGGTTAAGGAGAAAGAGATAGGGGGAAGGGCTTCTCTTTAATCCCAAAAGCATAGCTGAGAAATTAAAATCTTGTTAGCAGCTAGTAGGCAGACAGCTCGATTAATTTCATGTGAAAGATACTTAAAATAACTAACCGAGGTGATCAGCGCTGTTGAAACCATTGCTGAACCTCCCGGTTGGTATTCCATCGGGGAAGTCGACGCCATTATGAGGAAAATTAGCTCTTGCTTGGCTATCTGGTATGAAAGAATTAGTTCCTACATCTGCTGTGGAATCCCCTAGTATGAAAATGGTAGGAAGAGTGGCATTATCAGCCAAGTAAGGGAAGATATTGGCTAAGAGAACAAATAAACTGAGAAACCAAGGAATAAATGTCTTGGCCATGTTATATAATCAGGCTGCAGATTTAGTGATGCTTTCTGCTTCCAGAATTCTCTCTCCGTAGTTATTTTTTGTTGAACTTCCTGTCTAAGTAGATTTGTTGATGTCCCTACTACGAAATATATAGGCATTATGTACATTGATTTCCACTAGAGTACAAGGAGGTAAATGATACTATGTTGTTTTCCAACAGAAGGATACAATTTATGAAAACTAAGCAATATAACAAGGCGGACTCCCCTAATACCATGGAAGACCTGAATCTTCCCCTTTTAAGACAGTCATGTCGTAGTGTATTTGTATATATATTAAAATTAACGTCAGAACCAATAATTATTGAACATGAATGAAAAAGGGGACAAAGTCGAGCAGCTCCATAACCTTGTAAGAAAGCGGCAAAATAATAATAAAAGTCGAAAGGTTGGTCATGATATTTTATGATTATAACAAGGTGAAAATTGAACAAAGTGATCTGTCTTAGAACAAGTAATTTTTTTATGCCAGCTAGTGTATACAATATCAAAGACACGATTCATCATTTCCGGTATAAACAAGAAGAATCAGAGACCTCTAGAAAAGACCGTGTGGATGTTTATATGTAATTTCTAGGAACTGGTAACATAAAATCATCTGCTTCAAGTTATGCTGTATTATCTCCCAATAATTTACGCTCACAAGCTCCATGAACAAATATTTGTTTACTTATACCGTCTAATGTAATTTGATTTTCAGCAGAAGAAAGAAACATCTTCCAGTTTATATACTGGAGATACAGAAGCAAAGAGAAAATGTTGAAAAAAATCCCTAGTAGTAAAAGGGCAAAACAGGTGTCTGGGATTAGTATATTCATTTGTCCCACATCGACTGGAAGTCTAATGGATGATGAGCCAGTGAGTTATAAAACAGGAAGGTTGGACAACTAGTTCCATACTTACCTGGACGGGGTCAATGGGCGATCAAGAAGGCTTATGGCCTAGATTGGCGACTTCCATTGCACTTAGGAGGGGCGCCCGTCTAAGGTCGGCCCAAGTGGTCGAGCCTACGTCATAATTTGTGGTAGAGGGGGCCTGCGTTCGCGCGGCCCCTGCCCAATTCTAGTTGAGAAGTTTAAGTCCATTGACTACAGTAAGCCCATGGGGCTCTCTGACCAAATGAAGTTTGACTTCTTGTTTGGGCTTTATTTTGATTTAGTGTACTTTCGAGTCACGCATTTTGAAAAAAAAAAATAGCATTGCATAATATTTTATTTATTTTCTTACTTTTATTTAATAACACATCTTTAGAAATTAGCTATACAATATGATATATATGTGGCATCTTCCTCCATTAGTATTTACTCTAGTGTCTTTGGTCCAAGAAGAGTTTCCCAAATTTAGAGCATGTTTGGCTAAGTTTAGAATTCAATTCAAATTGAAGAGTTTCCCAAGTTTAGAGCGTGTTTGGCTGAACTTAAAATTCAATTCAAATTGAAAATATAGTCGTTATTGGATTCCACTCGTCTAATAAAAGTCAACAATAACGATTAATTTTTCAATTTTAATCCGATTTTAATCTATACCGAACACGTCCTTAAAGTAGTTGTACAGGGAAATTAGGTCCAACTTCCTAATTATCTGTATTGGCCATTGGGAAATCAATTCGAGCTATTATGAATTAATTCAGAAAATTAGACATTTTAGATATCAATTAATTTAAATATTTGATTTTTATTGTAATTTCTACTTATTCTCTTTCTAATTTGGTACTAATTGTTTGATCTCCATAATTTTCAAATACTTTTTTTCTCTCTTCTTTTTAAAAAATACATTTTCAATAAAATAATATTACACGTAAATTCAAAATTTTTTATTATTTTTGAATCATACATTCTCTATTAATATACTATTTCAAAATGTATTCTTATAATAAAATAGAGCTCAAACATGCTTTAAATGAACACAACACATACATTACAATTCAAGAGGTTGCTTTACCCAATTCAAGAAGAAAACTATTCATGAAAGAAAAATGATATTCATCTCCAGTGGAGATGCATATCCAATCTATGTGGATGTAAATGATTGGTTAAATGATAGGTGAAATTAGATGACTTATTTAATTTCACTTATCATTTAATGTCACATTAACGCCATATAGATTGAGGATGTATCCCCAATGGGGATGAATANATAGATTGAGGATGTATCCCCAATGGGGATGAATAGTATTTCTCTTCATGAAAACATGAATCACGAAGAAATCCGCGAAAATACAATTTCCCAAACGGAAGTCCGAAGATCGAGGAACCCACCATCGACGTCCCAATCAAATACAAAAATGGGAGGTAACTCAAAGCTACGAGATGTATATGTTAAAATCCGACTTTGTAAATTTGTGGCTTTTAAACAAATGATTGCGACACTCAAATATAATTGTAATGCCACAATGACATCATTTGCATACATTTTGGGGCACGAATAGCTGTGATTGACAAAATATAAAATGTGACTTTATTCCCATGATTCAATCTAAGCTTTACCCTCATCTATCATTATTTCAGATCTCTTTTTTTTTTTTTTTTNTTTTTTTTTGATCATTTTCAATTACACATTCTCGCAATAAAAATATTTTGCATATAAATTAAAACTTTTTCCTACTTTTTAACTATATATTTTTCAAAAATTCATTTTTAGCAAATAATAGTAGTCAAACACAGGCTAAATAATTGAACATGCTAATTCCATGAATGTGACTTCATATTGAACCGATCTTGCTTAAGCTAGTTGTATAACTTGTGATTTTTATTTGTCCGCTCGAAATGATAATGTTTCTCGAAGGTTCTAGCAAGATTGATGTTAAATTTTGACTTCATAATATTGGTGTGGCTTTTAAGCAAATGATTGTGATTCTCAACTATAAAATACAATATTACATTATAAATTAGCGTAACAGAAAAATATCAAACACGATTTCATTCTCGTGCTTCTACTTAAATAATTGAACACGTTAATGTGATATCGATAGTTACTCTAGACGTGACATTTGTAATTTATAAATTGCTGAAATTATTAATTGATAGAAACGAGTACTTGTTTGGGATCATTTGGTTCTCCTTCCAGTTTTGCACACGTGCGAGTGGAGATGTTGCTTTCAAATTGGAATTATCTATTTTGATCGTCGTAATTAATAATGAAATACAGAGTTATTTTAGGAGTTGTTTTGTGAGGGAGAGAATATAATGAAAATAACACGAAGAGAGTATTTTTATCCAATTAATCACTTGTCTTGATTTTCAAAGTACAAATGACTATTGGAAAGAGAAAATATAATTATAAACACTTGTTACGTTACTCGCCTCATCAATCCTTAATTGCGGTTAAAATCATTATTTGTTTACGTACATTTATTTCATAAAAATCATTGACTATTTTCAAAAATCTAAATTCTTCAAGAATAATGCCATTCAAACGGGGGGTTAAAAATTTCAACCTATCCAATGATGCTGCATCAGGTGTTATTCAGTCTGTTTGTGTAGTATGAATGATTCTTCAATTATAATAAACTTTAATTAAGAGAAAATGTCAACATGCTTCTAAATTAAACACTCCCCGACATGGCCAATGCCCCACCTATCTTGCGCATTGTTTAGAGTTGTGTTGACAATCTAGTCAAAACCTAGCTACTAAAATCTGTTAAACATGTGATTCCAAACAAACAAACAAAAGAAAAATAATATTTGTTTGTAAAGGACCGAAAGGAACTTTCACGTTCCCTCTCCCCAAAACACACCTAGTGGAGGTGGGTGAGTGTATTACACCTTCCTGAAGCTACTGTTTCTAGTAAATATTGTAGCGGGGGCAGGTAGTATATCCTGTTTTACGCTCAACTTATCGAATTTAAACTTGATATAATCTTATATCAATTTTCACATTTCACACATTTAATCCGATTATTATAACATTCTCACGTCATCGGGTTGTCAACCAATGTGTAAACAAAGTTGTACAAACAACTTAATTCATATTGGAGCCCTGCTACATTACTAGGCTGTGGATCACAGGGTTCTTCCAGGCTACACACATT